GCATGGTACTTGGTTGGAGTATGAGTCTCTGGAAAGAACCCTGTGCCCAGATTTTCTGTTTCTGTTTCTCTCCTTGTGGAGTTCCTGTCCTCTTCAGATCTTACTAATTCCCACTTCTTTCATAATATTCCATGCACTCTGCCCAACAGTTGGCCATAAGTCTCAGCGTCTGCTTTGATAGTCTGCAGAGCAGAGCCTTTCAGAGGCCCGTTTGTGGCAGGTTCCTAACTTGTTTTCTGTTTTCTTCTTTTTCTGATGTCCATCCTCTTCCCACCTTTCTTATATTCCATTACAAGTAGTCTCTCTATATATATCTGTAGAGAGAGGGAGACTACACACACACACACACACACACACACACACACACACTATAAGTAACATCTATAAAATATAAATAAATAAAGGGCTTGCTGTTCTTGGGTCTTGACATCACTCAGTCACAAAGAGAATGCAACTGAAAAAAAGCAGTGCTCTCAATTCCACATGGCCTAGAGGGAGGAGACTTGAGGGTGTGTGATGCTGAGAGCAGCTTGCTCATTTTGCAGTATCCTTTGTCTAATCTTTATTTATGTTCTTGTCACAATTAATAAGTGGTTATTAGAGATGTCCTTGAAAGAAAAATTGAAGTTTACTGCCAATATTCTTGAAGATATACAAGCAAAAAAGAATGTGCAAACACAGAGATATATTTGCAGGGTCCAGGTTGTCACAGATAAATCTATGCATTGCTTAGCTCACACCACTTAAAGGGCAGTGGGAGCCAATATATTTGACCACAGAACTAACTACTTCCTGGTCAAAATACAATACAAAGATTTATTTTTAAAGACAGCAAACTGTTTCCTACAAACTGTTATGTAACACTTTTCTTTAAAAATGCCTAACTAAATCCCAAAAGAAAATGTCAGAGCTGTCAAATACAGTTTTTTTTTCAATTAGAACCAAAAATAAATTCATATTGACATTTGTACTCCTATGTTTAGTACAGCATTGTGCATGATTCCTAACCTACAAAACCAATCCAAATGTTTAGTGACAGAGGAATGGACAATAAAGTATAGTACTCATATGCAGTGAGATATTATTCAGCTTTAAAAAGAAGCTTCCATCTGTGACACTGATGAAACTCAGGGATATTAGGTAAAGAAGCAGATACAAAAAGACAAATACTGCATCATCTCACCTATACACAAAAATTCCTAGAATCATATTCACAGTCACGGAGAAGAGGGATTGGAAATACCTGGGAAATGGAGTATAGTTTCTATAGCTAGATAAGGTAAATAAATACTGCCTTCTTTGCACAGTTGGGATATTATGAATAGTACACTTTATACAGCAAAAATGGTGGATAAAGATGCTTAATGCTTTATCCCAATAAACTGTAAATATAAACATGCAAGGAGACAGAGATGTTTACCTTGAAAATATTACATAATATATACATGTATGAGAACATCATATGGTTCCCATAACCACATATCCGATACAATCAAAAGGGTAGAAATTTCACCTGTGAGTCACTGTTGGAAGCCAAATGCACAGCAAAGTGGCCCTCATGTACACACACACACACACACACACACACACACACACACACACACACTACCCATATGAGTTTGTAAATATCTTAATTAGCCTGACTATGCTGATTATTTCACCATGAAGACCTACAACAAAATATCATATTGCAGTCTAAATATCACATCCTAAATATATACCATTTTTAGTTTTCAATCATACTGTTACAAAATTGGGAAAAATAAAGTAGTTTTGAGTGTGCAGCAGTCTGAAGTATTTTTACCTTGAAAATGTTATTCACTCTGCCCGAGGGCACCTGGAGGCTTTCCTGGGTCAAATCACTTTAGAAAGAAGAGCTTACGGGGTCTGCTAATTTCATTGATCCCAAGCAGGCTCCTCTGCAGCCCCCTGAGGACCCCGGGCCCTGTTTCTCAGTGTAAACCCTAGCTCCAGGATATGGAGGATCAATGCACTCACCATTATTCTCACCAAGGAGCGGAACAATTACTAAAATCTATTTGCCAGTAAATGTGCCTTGTCTTGTAAATCATTGGGTCGTTAACCTTAACAATTTCAATGTGCCATCTCTATCCAATTCAATTAAAGTACAGACCAAGGTAATGCTTAAGAATACATTTCAGGCAAAGGAATATACTATCATGGTGTTATATCCTCATAAATTAAACAATACATTCATCCCACCTTGGAAAAGGGACACTGCATGATAAACATAGGGTGGAGGAAAAACAAAGGCAATAATTCTAAGAGTAAGTCAAGGATTAGGAGTTAGGGAGAACCAACATCCAAGGCATAATCACATGCATTATTTCTTCTGGCTTCCAGCATGGCAAAAAACACCTGGGCAGAGTGGAAAGCCTGCTGAACCCTCATTTGCTCCAACCACAACTCTGTGAGTCACAGATGCCTGAACTGTACCAAAGGAAAAAACAGTGCCTTTCCTGCTCCTAGTCTCTTACGACTGTAACAGAAAAGCTTAAGATGCTCTGAGTTCTAGCCTGGTCCTCCACAGACAGAAAGACCCATTTTGAGAGCAAGAAAGCTCCAGAGCAATAGCACCCTTTCCATGTTTCTCCCCTGTTTGCTTAGGATTAGGCAGAGATTAAGAAGGAAGAAATGCTAATAGTCTTAAGGTAAATGGTTCCTTTTCACATTTGATAACATAGGGATGAATGCCTCTGATTTTCCTGGGGGGGGGGTGACACAAAACTGTGCTTCAAATTTCCTTTTTTTCCATAACTCTTCCCAGCTAGACCACTTTTTTAACCAGCATGTTTGCATCATGAGATACTACTCATCAATAGTAGTCAACACACTACTGCAAATTTAGTAAGTAAAGCATATATGTATATGTATATATATAAGCATTATAGCTCTGTAGGTCGGATGTACCATGTAGGTCTTCCCAAGGCTAAAATCAGGGTGTCATCAGGGTTGTCTTTACTGTGTTCTGGAGACTGTAGAGGAAAATCTGACCCTTGCTGGTTCTGGTTTTTGCAGTATTAGCTACCTACACAGGCATTAGGAGCCTTGAAGGCCACTGAAGATAGATACTACCTTCTGTTTTCCTTTTAAGAACAAACTTTTAAGAAAGGAAAGCATTTAGAGCTAGACTTAGTATGTAAAAGCACTTATTGCTTAAGCCTGATTAGGATCCCCAGCATCTGTGCATAAAAGATGGATGTGGATACATGAACAACTATAACCTCAGGACTCTACTGAGGGCAGAGACAGGAGGATTATTGGGGCTCACTGGCCAGCTAGTCCAGCTGAATAAATTTTAAAAAAGTGAGCTCCAGTTCATTAAGAGCCTAAGGCAGACAGTGATAAAGCAATGTCTTCCTCTAGTCTTTGTACATCCTTGCATGGTAGATAAGGTACACACATGTACAAGCATGGACACACACACACACACACACACATGTGCACAGTGAGCATTACAGTTGTCTCTTCCTAAGATTTTAATACCATATGAAAGGGAGAAAGGTGAAGCTATTAAGGCTTTGTTGGAGCCTACCATGGGAAGGCTGTTTTGGTCTGGTAAAAAGAATAGAATCTTGTCCTAGGTGGAGACATGATATTCTAAATGACTCCCGCCAGAAAACATAAGATGACATGTTTACTGTTGCCCTTTCCTCGAGAGTTAATGCAAATGAGCCTGTCAACCAACTGGACAGAAAAGCACCACTCAGGAACTAACTTTAACAATTAACCTTTCCTTTCTTTCTTTCAATCTTTTCTTCAAACCTTAAGCATGGTAACTCCGGATGTTCTCACTGTGAAGATGTGCTGGTCTTCCACCTCTATGCAACTGTGCATAGGCCTCTCAGGTGAGGCTTGCTGTCTTCTTGGACCCTAACTCAAAAGGGTCCTTCTCTTCCTCCTCTCTCCTCCCAGAAGCCTCTTTGATTTCAGCCTGCCCGCCCTGTTTGTTTTTCCCCTCAAACTAGCAACATGGTCCTCATTCTTCCTTCCAACTCTAATTTTATTTATTTTTTTATTCATGATATTAAAACTTGCAAAACAAAACCCTAATCCCTGGGTAACACAATGGATCTGCTTTTGTGGATTCTGGGTGCCCTTTTCATGCTGGCTGTTGTCCAAGGGCCTTTCTAGCTGCCAGAGGCCACCCGTCTTCCTTCTTTTCACTTCTAAAAGCAAGCAAAAGTGGTGGAGCCTTTTTTCATGCTTCAACCCCCTCTCTCTCATCACTCCCTGACTTTTGTATCTTCCTGCTCTAACCAGAAAAGGCTGTCTGCTTTTATGAGTTTGACTTAGCACACGGGTCAACACAACAAGGCACTAATGGCTGGTTAGGAAAAGCCCCTGATTTTGATAATCAAAACTAGCCACACAGAAAAAAACACACTTGTCATATTGGGTAACACAGGTTCCAGGCATCAGGCCATAGACATCATTGTTTTAAGGAGAGGGCTGTGTTACATTGTCTATCACCTACAAGCCTGCTCATATAGCAGGACCACCTGTAAGGATGGGAGAAGATTCATGGCACTGAACTGTTGCCTCCCTTTTCCTCCATCTCCTGACACTTCCCATCTGTGCTCTAAAAATATTTGGCTTCCCTCCCCCTCTTCCATTCTCAGAAAGTTAGCCTCATCACAGACTCTCCTCCCATGGATGGCTAAGGTAAGTGCTTGCTTTGCTCTGAATAAAACTTGTAGGAAAAAATGCAGTATCCATCCAATGATTCTCAGGTATCCATTTACATAAAAGTCATCTGAGGAAGCACATTCTGATTTAGAATCTGGATCTGATGTCTAGCTGAGACACTGGATTTTCCTGGAGGCCTCAGTTTTCTTATCTGTCAATTGGCAGTAATAACAGAATTTACACAGAAGGTGTTTGCAAATGTGCCTAGAAGTCTGCACCAAAACCTTGTGCAGAGCCTTTAAGCTTTCAATAAGGAAAAGCTATTTCACTCTCTCCTATAGCCCAGCAAGATGCCCAAAAGAAGAAAGGCCAATGGGAAGAAGGTGGCCCTGGCCCATACTGTCGTGAAGAAACAGGAGGCTAAAAAGGTGGTCAATCCTTTGTTTGAGGAAAGGCCCAAGAACTTCAGCATTGGGCAGGATATCCAGCCTCAAAGAGATCTCACGCGCTTCCTCAAATGGCCCCACTACATTAGGCTGCAGCGGCAAAGGGCCATCCTCTCTAAGTGGCTCGAAGTACCTCCTGCCATTAACCAGTTCACCCAGGCCTTGGACCAGCAAATAGCTACGCAGATGCTTAAGCTTCCCCACAAGTACAGGCCAGAGACAAAGCAGCAGCAGTAGAAGCAGAGGCTACTGCTGCTGAAAAGAAAGCAGCTGGGAAAGGAGACGCCCCAACTAAGAGAGCACCTGTCCTTCCAGCAGGGGTCAGTACAGTCACCACTTTGGAGGAGAACAAGAAGGCTCAGCTGGTGGTGATTGCCCATGACTTAGACCCCATTGAGCTGCTGGTTTTCCTCTGTGCCCTGTGTTGAAAGATGGGGTCCCCTGCTGCAGCATCAGGGAGAGGCCAGGCTGGGGCGGCTGGTCCGCAGGAAGACTGGCACCACTGTTGCCTTCACACAGGTTAACTCGGAAGACAAGGGTGCTCTGGCCAAACTGGGGGAGACTATTAAGACCAATCACGAAAGATACGATGAGATTCGCGGCCACTGGGAAGGCCATGTCCTAGGTCTTAAATCTGTGGCTCTTACTGCGAAGCTGGAAAAGGCAAAGGCTAGAGAACTCACCACTAACCTGGGATAAATGTACACCTCTAAGTTTTCTGTACATAAATATGATTACAAAACAAACAAACAAAAAACCAACAACAGAAAGGAAAGCTATTTCATAGCCACAGGCATCACCATTCACTGTGTCTTCTAACATTCTTTGTACAACAAGTAATAGCTTGTTCCCTATAAATGTTGATTCATTTACTAGTTAAAAGAAAATAAAATTTACCATCTCAAGGACAAGGCAGGAATTCCATTAAAGCATCTATTTGTGTTCATGGTTTGTTTCATTGTCAAAACCTGAGAAAGTGCAACAGAGGGGATTGTGGATTCTGTAGAAATTATACATGTATTACATTAATTGTATTATTTTTTTTGACCAAAAGTCTGATTTTTCTTCTGTACTTTTCTACCAGAGCATTGCTATCCTGAGTGTTGGGGCGTATACGGCCTTGGTTATAGTCATTCAGTGTCACTACCATAGTACAAAGTTACATGTAGATAACAAGCAATAGCTGAGCATCCTTAACCCTCTATTGGCAAGAGCAGGGGCCAGGCTTTGGACTGTGTACAATCACTTGCCGGTTTCTCTTTAGACTGACATCTGGAAGGCTCAGACTTACTTGTAGGGATGGAGTCTTTATTCTAGCCTTTATGCTTAAGTGTTTCTCAGAATTTATATTGGACACTTCCTACCCACCAAGCTCAGAGCAGAAAATGTCATCAGAGAGCAGAGACATATAAACTTTGGCAGAGGTTCCCCCACTTGGCTGTAACTGGCCTAGCTGACGTTTCCAAGGGTATACTTGAAAATTATTTGTTTAGGATTTTATTCTGTTCTGTTACTATAAAAACCTCATGAAACTGTTATCACACCAGACCTTGGTATTTGAGGTAACTTCATTCTGTGTTTCTAGGGCCTGGTGACTAATAATTGGATCCAAAATAAACTATATTTTATTCCATTTGTGATGAAAGTGTGTGTCTTGACAGCTTTTAAGAAAATAGCTTTTAAAAAAGCTATTTTTTTAAGGTATCTTCTTAAAATGTTGCTTCTCCTATGTTGCTACATGGAGTTTTCTTCTAAGAGAAAGAGAACCATAAGCATCATGATGTAAGACTTCCCAGATTCTAGAACTATGAACAAGATAACCCTCTACTACTTATATTTCACTCATTCTCTAGTGTTCAGTACAGCAGCAGAGAAAAGACTAAGACATCATCTTTTCCCATCCCTTAAAAGCATGTTCAAGTAAATTTTATATCTATGTACATACGTGAAATTTTAAACTTAATTTTAACATTTTAAAATCTATTCTTACATTTAGTTAATTAATTTTTGCATAGAAGGCATGGCATAGTGCACATGTGGAGTCAGAGGCCAGCTCTCAGGAGTCGCTTTTTCTTCTTCCACCATGAGGGTTCTGGGAACACACTCAGGTCAGCAGCTTGGTGGCAAACACCTCTACTCACTGCACCACCTCACAGACCCTATCCTGAAATTTAGGGAAGTGCGTACAACATATTGAAAACCCAGAAAAGAAGCTACAACCTGATCTCAGGTGTTCATTAGATGATGCTTTTCTCATGGAGAATTTTACTTGGTGGATTGGTTTGGCATCTGCTAGTATAAAATGGTCCTGTGCTGAGGAGATGGCCCAGAACCTTATGGCTCAGGAAAGCATCCTCAATTCTAAAGAGATACATATGCACCTTTTCCTTTGGCTATCTAGCTATTACCTTTTATTCACTGACCAAATAGGTGCTTTTAACAAGCATGCAGGAGTGGGAGTCTGAACTTGACCTTAACCTCCACAGGAAGATTTAAAAGGCATCTTCCCTCTGTCCATCAAAAGAATGGACCAGGGACAAAGAACTCTGCCAGCACCAGAACAGGGGAGGGGCTTCCATCTGCCAGTCCATAACATCCCCCGCTTTACCTTCTTCATACTCTTTTCTTAGATTCAACATGGGCCATCTTTAAGATGAAATATTTGGACCATTTCCCTCAGGGCTTAAATAAAAGCTGTCCTATAACAGAGAACTGAGAGGATGGACCTGTCAAATGGCTACACAGTCAAATCTACTCATTGTCTACATTTGCCTCATGGTTTTGCTCCTGCTTTTAGCTGACAGGTTGTGATATTTCATGTTCTGGAAGAGTTGTATGGACATGGTGGAGAAGAACTGAATCTCTCTACCTGGTTTGAAGAAAGCTTAAATTAATCTATTTTGTTTCTCAGTTTTCTATATGTTTTTATATTTTTATTTTAATTTAGTTTTGTTTTCATTTTCAAGACAGGATCTCACTTTGCAACTCTGGCTGTCCTGGAACTGACTATGTAGACCAAGCTGGCCTCAAACTTATAGAGCTCTGCCTTCCTCTGCTTTCTAAGTTCTGGAATTAAAGGTGTGCAACCACTATACTTACCTCCATCTTGTAGTTAATTTAGGATATAGGAAATCTAAATTGATGGGTAACAATGACAGCTTTTTGCTAATCTTAAATTGGTAGAGAGCATCACATGTTGAGACAAGGCTATACGATTTTAGTGAGTTACTTAACCTCTCTGACTCAGCCACCTTCTCAGTTAAAAATACAAGATGCCAGTGTGTATCATGAGGAATAAAATAATCAAGCATAAAGTTAACATACTCTAGTGAATCAAATTCTTGGTACATGAAAAATATAGGATTACCTCCGTGATCCTGACTTGCCATTGAAAGATACCAGAATAACTTACATATAATTAAAAAGAACCAACATGGATGGTGAGAACCCCACCAGAGGAAAATGTAGGTATTCTCTGAATGACAGAAAAGACTGTGAGCAGTAGAAATCCTAATAATTGGCTTGAGATAAAAGTGATTAAACAAATTTACCCCATAGCTTACACACTGGAGACACAGGGCTCTGCTACTGGGGTTAACTGTAACCGTAATCTAAATGCTTTAAATGCGTTGAGGGACATCTTCTCATATAATGGCTGAGAGTCTCACCTCTGGCCTTCATAGAAAGAAGCTAGACACTGTCATGTTGTCAATGCAACCCTGAGGACATCAGGATGTCTTCCCTGTGACCTAGACTCTAGGGGACATGTTTCACGCTTCCAACCCCAGCCTCTTGTGGCATGATCTCATTGCCATCAATATATCTGCAGGAAGAAGCCTTATCTTTTGAGAAACATACAGCCAGTTCCCAGAATAAATGTCACCTAAGGCTGCCAGAAAATGATGTAATGAGACAGGTTAACTGCAAAGTGACAGGTTGGCTTCCTTCCTTGCTGGTAGCTGCCAGACCTCACAAAACTGAACTCTGCACACCCAGGAGATGCTCCTTCAGAGCCATCTTTTCATCCTTAGGACATACTCTCAAGAGTGAAATATAGAGAAATTTGGTACCCAGGGCTCATGGCAGAGTCACATGTCTTGGAGAGTGGTTTGATCTTAAGGGACAGATAAAACTCCAACCTTCCTAGTGGAAATAAATATCTAAAGAGACATTTGTGGCCCTCCCTTTAGCTGTCAGAGATTGAGACAATGGACCTAATTTCCCTAAAAGTGTCAGGCCACAAGAGAGAAAAAGCTGAATCCTAATGCCTGCCAGAGGGGAAACTTGTGTCCTGAAGAAATTCTATAGAGGAACAGAGACAGAGAAAGATAAAGATATTTGAAGAGATAATGACTAAATGTTTTCCAAGACTGATTGAAAAAAATATATAATCACTGTAGATAGAAGATGGCCCATGAAATCTACATAGTGTAAAGTCAAAGAGATTAGCAACTACAGGATAAAGAAGCCAAGAAAAAAATCTGATGCAAAGAGATACAGAGAATTGATAGAAGTGTAGAGACTGCATCAAGGTAAACCTGGGTGGCCATAAGAAGCCGGCATAGAAAAGAACCACATTTTCCTAAAGAGCCTCCAAAGGGTACACTATGCTGACACCATGACTTCAGTCCTTTGTAAGAGAGAATAAATTTATGCTGTTTTAAGTTAAAATAAGAAGAATTAGTTATGGTGCCCCTGAAAGCTGTAGCATCCGGAAGCTTTAACTTCTCTACCGTGCTTTTACAAACAAATTTAATTCCTTTGGAGTTCTGGTCTTAAAGAAAAGAAAAACGGATTTGTTTTATTTTAATGTGTGCGCACATGAATAAGTGTGTGTGTGTGTGTATGTGTGTGCATGCACCTCTCGTATATGCATGTGTGTGTGTATAGGAGAGAGTGAGTGAGTGAGTGAGTGAGTGAGTGAGTGAGTGAGTGAGTGAG